CCTAAGTCACTGCCTAGAATGCTTGTCTAAGGGGAAAAAAGCCTAAAGTTCAAGACCTGTGTTCAGAATATGATCCCATCTATGTGCTGGGGTCTGCTTGAGGAGCTCTCATTAGAATTCCCGGCATTCCTGGAAGTTTGGCATCAACCAACTGAGCCAGCCTGGGACAAGAATGAAACTTAAGACTTCTGGCTGCCATTGCTGGCATTCAGTCTCCAAATTCAATCCTCTAAGGAGGCCATGAATTTCATTACCATCGTCCTATCACTGCCAGGGCTTTCACTATTAAAGTGTGGATTATTGTCATTACTAGGAGTTGGCACAAGTGCTCGTGACTTCCCATGGCTACTTCTCTCCCCACGCCAATGGCTGGAAGTCTTTTGGGCTAAGACCATGTTTCCTCTGTACAGAACTCAGGATATCATGTCCCTCTTGTCCCTCCTCCAGCTCTGACACCAAGCAGGGCATCCTTCTAGCAAGGGACACCTCTGTTAGTACCTGGGATCAAGTGACAGGGAAGTTGCTAACTGTAATTTATGACAGATCTCACCAACCTCATCCCAGGGGGGATGGTCAGGGGATCATCTTACACACTGCAGCAACAAACTTTAGGACCCAGGACATCTCTGCTTCCTGCTTCTAAACTGGTTTGGGCTGTTTCCTTATCTTCAGTCTGACTTTTGGAAAAACAAGTTTGACCTACAACCATCCATGGCCCGTGGAAGTCTGGGAGTCAGCAGGGACCCGATATGAACGAGGACAAGATTCAAGTGGATGCCATTTGCTCTTTATTATTATTCATTTTTTGTACAGAAAGAGACAGAATTTAACAGCTAAACTCAACAACTGTAAAAAGAGAGAGAAAAATCAGAAGCAAATTGGTAGGTCACCCTCCAGGCTCCCGTGAAATGCTGACATATTACTCAATGTACACATTTCTCGGCCAACAGGGATCAACACGTGAATATGAGCACAGTTTACAGTGGTACCAAAATGAATCTATTTCACAGTAACCATGTCTATAAGCTCAGTTGCACAGATCAGGGTTTCCACTGTCACAAATTCACAATTACAGAGTAAAATAGCAGGTATGTCCAGGCCTGGGAAAGTGGCATCTGTCGAAGGAGATGGACTGAGAGGCAAAGCGGTTAGAGGGTTTGTCTCAAACCTGAAGACTGTATGACTGCTTGGGCCAGGGGCAGGCACAGGGCAGGCACTGTTCAGCAGTCAGACGGCAGGACAGTGAAACAACTGCTGAGGCATAGAGCTGGGGCGGGGGGTCTGTTTGGATATCTCTGTCACAGAAACTCTTGCTAGAGAGAGACTCGCCGCCCACAGCCTGTGAAAGGAAAGGCTCCCTAAGTTGGAATATTTGGGGCAACCATGGTAGCGGCCAGTCTGATAAGTGAAGCATCTGCTTTACAGAATATTGGGAAACATACACCATTTATATTCATTTAGATTGCGGTCAAGTTCACAAACTATGCACATACGAGAAGACCCCAAGCTGAAGGCACGGTGAAGGGATTCTTAATATCTGGAGCCTTTTCTTTGAAAAGGGTACTCATTTTCAACTGGATTCCTCTTACACAAAAGACCCTGAACATTGACTAAAGGGAAAAATATCTCACATATTTTTCTATAACAAGGACCACAGCTACTGTGAATTATCTTAAGTTGTGATTTTTTTTTTTCTAAGCCCTGAATTAGTGGGCTCGGAATTAATGGGCTTTTACTATCGTTACAAGCAGTCTGATTACAGTACTTTTAAATTAGCTAATTATAGTGATTAGTACTACCAGAGGTCAGTGGGGGAGGACGTGCTTGTTTCTGAATCAGTGACATCCTACAATAGAGCTTCATTTCTTGTCAAGTTCTGCATCTCGGCCTTGACCATGAGCATACACACATGACACATTGCACATGTACACTCCTGAAAGACAGAGCCTCACGAGTGATGGAGAGGCCCCCTCTCCACAATCTCTCAGACAAAAGAAGAAACTAGAGGCAGTGTTTATTTCTTTTTTCTTCTCGTGGAATATCATTTGGTCATCAAAACTCAACTCTGGCGGGGGTGGGGTGGGGAGTGGAGGTGAGAATCTCCATTTACTGGGAGTGAGGAAGCATCTGTCTCCAACTACTTAACAGAAAGCCACTTTCCTGTCCGGAATTCTTTATATTCAGGCTACCAAAGGCAGCGTCCAACAGACTGGGCAGATTCCTGTTTTTCGAAGCACCCTAAGGAATTCACACTAATGGCAGTAGAAGAGACTGAAGCCTCTGGGTTCAGAGTGCTCAGCACTGTGTCACCCTCAACCTGGGTGCGACACAGCTGTGTGAGTGGCATGCACACACCGGGTCCTTGCGTTTTGAGAACCCGAGGTGATAGGGAGCGGGGAAGGAACAGGATGGCGATTCTCGTTTTAAAAAGTCTTTAAAAGTTTGGGTTGAAAACAAGTGACGGTCATATTTCAAGGAGATTTTTAAAGCCTTTTCTTTCTTTTTTTAATGAAAAAAATACCTAAATAACTAGACCCGCCACAGCCAAAGTCAATAGTCACACATCTTTTCACGAAAAGAAAAAAAGTGCCCAGGAGTGCTCAGATTTCCTTCAGCTGCTGACGCCCACAGAACAGGAGCCGGCCAGGGGCACCGTGCCAACAGGGCGTGTGAGCAGCGGTCCGGCAGGGCGGAGACCCACAGAATGGAGCTGCTTCGTCTTCCTCCAAAGCCTTTGGTGAGGGGTCAGAAGGTGACTTTGGGGGGCTCCAGTAGTTAATCTCCACTGCCCAGCCCTGGGAGGTGACATTCCTCCCTTCAGACCGGATTCCCCCTGGTACAAATATAGCCACATACCGGCTATTGTTTCAGATAAGCAATGAGAGAAGGCAACGTGCACATGTATGCACACACACACACACACACACACACACACACACAAAAGTCCAGAAACAACAGAAATGTGGCTACTGAAGAGTTAGCATTGTATCAAATCTACATCCATACAAAGACAGAGTTTGGAAAGATATATACAGGGCATTCATAAAAGCCGAGTGTGCACCGCAGGAGGGATGCCCGTTGTGTGCTGTGTAGACTTTTTTTTCTACAAGTGCTGCAAAAACTGTCCCAGAGACTGAGACGCAGCCCCACCTGGAAGAACACTGTGAAGCACCTGAACTTGTCCTCAGCCCAGGAAGGACACATGCTGCCCTCCACGGGCCGGTCCCCAGGCTTCTGCTTCCTGCTCTACCCTACCACCATCTAGACCCAACGCATGTCAGAGGGCCTTTCTTGACAAACTCCCTTTGGGCTAACTGAGCACAAAGGGACACGTTGGGATAAATTTCTTACCTACTTTCAGCCACTTGCTTGAGAAAATATTGGAAGAGTGAGGCTGGCCCCAGAGCTTTGGGCTTCCCCAGACTTTCTGACATGGCCGAATGGGATTGGCCCTGCCTCTGTCATGGAAAAAGCAGGGCCTTCTAGGCCAAAAGTCCCTTGCGAGGAAGGGCCGGAGTGCAGTGCTAGAGGCCCAGGGGAGAGAAAGCGGAAGAACAGAAAGGTGGAATGCCACCTGGTCAGCATCTCTGGCATCACAGAACTTTTGGTAGGAGGGGCGAGGGAGCAGAAGAGGTCAACTGGTAGGAGATTGACTCCCCAGGTGAAGACTCAACATGAAAGGCATATGAGGCCCTCAGCTAAGACTAGTCCCTTATAACCCACACATTTCTAGAAGAATCTTCCTAAGGGCAAACCTCCTGGCTCCCTGGCATTTCAAGCGCTTCGCAGGCATGAGCTCAGTCTGCCTTCAATGGGCCGGTGAGGTAGGGGGAAGCATGGGAAACCCCAGCCACAGGGTCGAACGGCCCAAGCTGGCGGCCTCATTGGGATAAGAACACAAGCCTTCTTACTTGAAGCGTATCCTGGGGCAGGACCTCAGGAATGGAGCAGCCTCCAGAAGTCATATGTGGCCTCAAGGCAGGGCTGCATTCAAGGAAAGAGTCCCGATGTGTGCCTTGGAGAGTCATTTAGACAGAAAGACACTTGTCAACTCAGTGGGTTTGAAATTGCTGTGGTAGCCATAGACCCGGACTGTGGACTCTTTTGGGCCACACCAACATTTGCTACATTTTTGAAAGCACCACAGAGGAAAAATGGTTTGGCGTTGAGGCCAGGAGGATGGAGATGGGAGTGAGGAGAGTTGGTGTCAACAGTATCTTTTGCACGGTCACTGACAGTTAAAAGGGCAGGTCGCATCTGCCCCACTGCTGTCCAAAGTCTCACTGAAAACAGACTGGCACCTGACAGACCAAACACCATATGGGCCTTTGACCCCATGTCATGGGCTCCCCTACAAAGACAGGATTAAAAAGGGACACCTTAGGGTCTTCTCGCAGGTGGGTACCAACTGTAAGGAGAAATCATCACTCTGAAGCTCAATTTCAATGCACCAATTCACAAAAAGAGAAGGATCATCAAAGTTCCAAGCCAGAGAGCACTGTGCCCAAGAGGCCAAGCTCCCGAGTAGAACTGTTCTGTGATGAACCCCACATGCAGAAAACTTCAGCTCTCTACCCCAGCCTACGCCCCAATCACTTGAAGGCCATGGGCTCCGCAGGCTGGGATAGGAGCATCTGTCTTCTCCATGCCAGAGTGCCCAGGGCTGAGTGGGCTCATGCCAGTGGGTGGTAGTTTGAGCACGACTGGTATACACGTCTGCAAGGCCAAGGTCTGGATGGCAGAGAGCACATGGGCCCCTTGGTTAATCTGGAGGAGGAAGCTCTCCCACCCAGTCCCTTGGCCCCCATTCTTCATACACCCCCGTCCTCATTCTAGGAGTAGGGGTGGTGTTGGGGGAGGCAAGTGGTCTTGGATCTGTGCGATGGATTTCCCTCACTTTCCTGTGAATGGCCCAGGTGCTATGGATTTGTTCTATGGTGTTGATTTCTTTGTCATTACCTTTGTTGTTTTGTTTGTTGCTCAGTCTGTCTCTGCTCTCAGAGTATAAGGGGTGCTGAGGAGCTGGCTTCCCTCCCTGACCTCTGGGCCCAGGGCTCCAGGCACGGTCAGGCCGCTAGCCAGCGTCACAACCCTGGTGTCGGGCCCGCGGACATTCTGTCCACAGTCCACTCAACGGGGGGGGTTCCTTTGGCATAAGAGAAGCCAGTCCCTGATGGGAGGACAGGATGGTGGGGGGATGGGAGGCATTTGGAAGAGCTAGGAGCTCTGGCCTGTGACTCTTTCTGGGGACTTCGACTCATGCATGCTCCCTACTCCCACCCTCCCCACCTGTCTCTGACAACTGACTTCCTAAACTCCACGGTTAGGGAATTATTTGGCAACAAGGAGGCTAAGGCTGTTTTGTGGTGGCACAGTCTTTAAAAAGTTAAAAAGAAAAGAGGAGGCCTCCAAAAGAGGCGTTCACCTGGGATGGGACCCACGTTCCACTACTTGTCAGCGCCAAGGTTGGCGGCCACTATCTCCTCATACTTTGGGGGTGGGTCACTGTAAGAGACACTGGCCTCCTCACTGCTGCTCTCCTGGGGTGCGGTCACTTCCTCATAGGAGGGGGGAGGGGTGGCGCTGGACAGTCTGGAGAGAGACAGCTCAGGGAGGTAGAGGGTACTCTCCAGTCGGACCGTGGTTCTGCCCCCCCGATTGGGCCCCAGCACCACCTGGGGGTTGCTCCCTGCCTCCCGGTGCCCAGAGGACTCCCCTTGGCTATGCACAGTGCCCCGGTACACCATGACACGGGGGAGGCTGTGCCCGGCGCGACTGGCTAGGTACCGGTTCTGAGCATAGGAGGGATGGTGACGCGTCGCTTTCTGCAGCTGGCACCTCCAGATAATGAACAAGGCGATGACAATCAGTAACGCCACCCCCAGAAGGGGCACAACCACGTACATGGCGTCTGAGCTCTGCGAGGGGTCTCGGACCGAGTAGACCGCATTCGGGTACCCCTTCCAGAACTCCATCTGCAAAAGAAGGGACACTTACCGGAAGCTCGTGCTCCAGCCGGACCCCAAAGGCCATCAGCTAGTCTGATGCTATGTCGGGCAGGGCCTTCACCTGCTTTGCACCCTTCCCCATCCAACCGGCCTCAGAGAGCTATCAGAGAGGCTGTGGAATGCACTGTGGACAGAGGTCAAGGCTCCCAAGTGAGGAGGTCCCCACGAGGCAGGCAAAGGACAGTGTGGACGTTTTATCTGTTTCTCTAGGGCCCAAGTGGTCATGCCTCAAGCTGAGTGGCTTTCGCTTTTTTTGCTTCGAATTCCTCAGAGATGCCAAAGCCTGCTCTTGTTATTCTCGAGGCTCTTTCTCCTCCCAGAACCCAGCCCATGGTGGTACATGCCGTTTTCTCTTTGTTCTCAAACACCTCCTTGACCTCCTCGTAGCTGCAGATCTCTTCCATGCACTCTCGTTCAATAGTGCCCTGCCGCAGCTCCTCCAGGAACTCGTTGGCGCGAGGGAACCGTTTCAGGACCGAATGGGCATTCTTGGCCTCCAGAAACACTGAGGAGAGAGCCACACTGAGGCCTAGAATGGGGAAGTGACCGTGGGCTCTTTCAAGTCAGGTTCAGCCCAGGGACTGAAGCTCAATTATGGAGCGAAATAAGACCAGGCCAGCAGGCAAGCCACCAGGCTTCCGACCAAAGGCCGTTGCGAAAAGGAGGGAAGGGTTGACTTTCTGTGACGCCATGATATTCCTGTCTAGAATACCACGGCCCCAGTAAGGCTCAAGCCCCTGGTTCTAAGGAGGAAAATGGGAACCACTAAGACGGGAGTGCATTTTGCACAGGGATGAGAAAGCATAAAAGAGTTTTAGGTATGCAGACTTCAGTGAATATATCCCCAGTATCTTCTGAATCACTTTGAAAAGAGAATGTTGGACCCCTTGTCGTGAGAATGTACTCCTCTCTGAGGTTGATGCTGGTGGAACAAATACCAGATAATCCCATAAGACTGTACCAGAGTGGCATCCCTCCACCTGAATCGGCCACCTGAGCTAACTACTGGACCACTTGGCATCAATAGGCCTGCTCAAGACAGCCGAGCATGAAGCCAGGCTGGGCTAGATCCAGCGACTAGACACATATGAGCGGAAATCCCTCCCACAAAACTGTCTTTACGTGGAAGCCACATACAAGGGGGACTCCAGAAAAACTGGAATTGTATTTTGGAGGGTGGGTTCCTTGTAGTATAGGTTTCCCCTGCAAGCATCAAGCCAAATGCAGCCTCTCACAATAATGCTACGTGTGGCTTCCACTTAAAGACGGTTTTGCAGGAGGTGAATTGTTTTTTAAAGATTCATTCAATGCGCTTCCCATTTTTTGACGGGTGATCTACGAGCACAGCTACCCACATTGCGCAGAGTGTTCAGCAGTTTTTGATCAAAAATGACATGACCTCTGCACCCCACCACCTCTATTTACCCAATCTCACCCTGAGCGACTTTTTTTTTGTTTCTCCAGATGAAAACAATTCTCAAATGGAAACGTTTTGCTGATGTGGAAGAGATGAAACAAAAACCAGCAGAAGCACTAAATGGCATCAAAATTGATGAGCTCAAAAACTGTTTTGGGCAGTGGAATAAGCAACTTGACAGGTGAATTACATCAAACGGAGAGTACTTTGAAGATGACTTAAGTGTACTCACTCCAGAGAGGCCCAGCTACATGAGTCTGAACTGAGACTTTGAAGGATGAAAGAGGTGACATTCACTCCTGGAATTCACCTAGACTTGGGACTTTCTAGTTTTCATGTCAAACAACTCGCCCTCGTGCCTAGGCCGGTAGGTCTATGCCAACAGGCAGGCAGGCACCGGTCCCCAGGCTCCATGGCCTATCACGTTAGTGTCTCTCAGAGAGGCTTGGGTGGGTGCACATCGACAAGGGAGTATACCCTCCAGAAGGGAGCCAAAGAGTTGAATGGGGAGAGCTGCCACTTGGCCAACTGGACAGTGACTACAGGACCACCCCAAGGACAAGAAAACCGGGAGGGACTAGAAGATGGACATGTACCTTTCCCATGAGCCCCTAGGCCTGGTCCTCTACCACTTTGCCTGGACCTGGAAAAACTCACCTGCCATGATGCTTCCTCAGCTTCAGATCCTCACTTGTCTCTGAAAGAGAAAAGCAAAGTTGCAGTGTAATGACACCTAGAAATCTACAGGGGACCCTCTTGGCTCTAGGATGTAACATCCTCTTCCCCCACTGGCCCGGTTCAAAGGTCAAAGCAGCACCCTGTGGGGTACACCACCCACGGAGCAGCCACTCAGCTCCTTGCAAGCTTCTCAGAGCCCCCCAGATCCAGCAGAGCCCAAAGCAAACCTTTCAATTATTTTCCCAAAGAACATATTCTGAGCTTCTAGAAGACCTAAGGCTTGACCTTTTTCTTCAAACAAGGAAAACTCCTATAGGCTGAGACCCCCTCCTGTCTTGCTCCCTTCAGTGAATCTCTGCACTTTCCAGTCGGAGAGGACCTCAGAGGCAGATGAGGAAACAAAGCCCAGAGAGACAGGACCCAGTAAGGCAGACCGGCAGTGACTGAAGCTGGAACCGAATTCACAACTCATTTTGATCACTATAGCGAGTCCCAGATACCTCTCAGGCTAATCACGTTTCCTGAAAACAAAGCTTAACCCAGCAGCAATCATCTCACAAGTCACAGCCCAACTGGGACTGCCCCACCCTTCAGTGGACACATATTCCGCAGGGTCAGATCCTCTGTGCACAACAGTGCCACATTGTTATGGTCCCCGGGCACACCCACGAGGCCCAAACCTGGATGATCTGCTGTGTTCACCTTCAACAGACAGGGAGGCAAGATACCCGGAATCTTCTGGAACCAGGGATCTCTTCTCTCTTCGCATTAAAGACCACTGCAGCAGAGTACTAACACATGGATTTAGATGCCAACTAGAAGAATCGCCTCTAATTTGAGCTATTGTCCAAAAGCTTTTCTCCTGCTAAGGAGCTATCCAGCCAGCCGGTAAACCATGGGCACTGCACGCCGCTCCCGCACTCGTCCCCAGTAGCACACGCCCACTCACACATGCATTCCAGAGCACTGGCCAAGCTGTCCACATCTGGGAGCAATCACCTCACTGCTCCCCTCCCCAAGCAGAAGCTCTGGTTTTATGACTAACTGGACGCAAGGCACGTGAACTGTGTAATCCACTGTGCTCCCCTTTTTGCCTAGGCTGCCAGGAAGTTCAGTGCTCCCCTTGCCAGTCAAACACAGGCGCCCTGGAAGCCCAACTGGTGTATAGTTTTCTATGTACGTTTTCAGCGTGCATTTATACTATATCTTCTAATCCTTTGGCAAACGTGTAGGGCATAAATCATAAATCTAAAACTAAAGAACAAACAGCAAATCCCACATCCATCTGTGGAAACGCCATGTCAAGTGGATTTCTCTTTTGAACCCTGAGCCAATCCCACCCGAAACCAACATGTGGATGTGTCAGCAGATGGGTCTGCATGATGAGAAAGTTGGCCCTCTGTGTTTATCAGAGCAGAGATGGAGTATTAGCTCCAAATTCTGCTTCTGTCATGGATGACTGAGGCTGAGGTGGTAGATCTAGTAGACACCTAGAATGTAGGTTTTGTTTTGGTTTGGTTTGGTTTTCTGAGTGAAGAAAATGGAGCTGTTGTCTCTGGATTTGAAAATAATGCGTAAAGCCTTCGCTGGTCAGGGAAGAGAGAAAAATACGTTTTGTTGCTTATCAAAGAGAGCGGCTGTGATTTTTTAAAAAAATTTTATGTAGAAAAATTACATAATAGCTGCCATATACACGTCTTTTATCCCGCATATACCTAGGTGTGCGCACCCCCACACCTATCATAGACCAGAATGCATGTCACCCTGCTACACCTGCTAAAGCCATTAGTTCATTTTTAAGCGTCAAACGAGCCAGGAACTCCCCAAAACAGCTCTTGGAATGGCCCACTCCAACAGCAATTCTGTAGCCACCATCACTGCTGCTGCCTGCCATGAGGCCTCCACCCCTCCCTCCCCAAAATGTAGCGCCTGCTTCTTCCCCTATAAATACACCATCGATAGGCAGTTACTATGGCAACAGTGAGGAAGCAGGCATGAGGGCTCCACGACAGAGAATGATGCTGCACTCACGCATGTATATGTCTGTCCCTCCTGCCCCTGGTGGATACTGTAAAGCCGACTGGAGGCGGAAGGAATTTTTAACCCACTCCCCACAGGCACACAGCTGAATCCTGACAGCCTGGAAAGGAAGGAAGGCAGGGAACTGGCCACCACAAAGACCTTCCTTAACCCCACCCCAGGCAGAAGCTTCCAAGTCACAGCACTCTGGGACACTGCTCCCAAAGTCCCTAGCATGAAGATCGATGGCCACCAGAGCACCTGGTGTCCCAAGACGTGGCCTCCAAACCACTTCTCCAAACCCTGGCCCCGTTTTATTTCCATCACTCAACTGATCTCCAGGAAAGGGTTCCGGGATTTCCAAATCTCATGACTCATCGACCCACTCAGTGACACCACGGCTCCCAAATTATGCTCCAACTCCAGCTCTGGCCCCCCCCGCCGCCCCCTTCCGCTCAGGCCAGCCTTGAAAGTGCCTGTCATCGCCCACCTTCGCCCGCCACCAGCGCCCTGGCCCAGCATGACTCTCCTGGGGCTGCACAGAACGCCCAACGCCTTGGCCCGCCGGGCCTCCAGATCGCCCTCCCCAACAGTGCCCCGCTCCCAGCTCAGCGGCCCTGGACACCAAACCGTGCCCTCGGGGCTGGGGCGCCCAACCCGAATGACCTCACCGTTCTCCGGGCCCAGG